GTGAAAGTCTGGGGTCTCCACCCATGAGTCGTTCTGTCGACTCCATCCTTGAGGAGATGCTTACTTGAAGCTTTTCGGCGGACTGGCACTGCCTGGACTGTGCCAACCCGGCTGTTGCTACACCGATTCGGCGAGCTCGTTCACGACCACCTCTACCTAGCCCTCGGTCGTAAGACAACCGGCCACGAACCTTACTTGAAGGTATCTTAGTGAGAGGCAGGTGGGGCTCGTCGTCCATGGCACGAGCGTAGCCTCGGCCATGGTCAATGATTCTCGTCGGCGACAGACACCGAAGAGAAACAACTCGCCAACCACAGTGCGACAGCCGTCCCTGTCCACCTGTGAGAAACCGAAGGTACTCTCCCCTTCCAAGGGCCGACGGGCGCCCGAGTGCAGGCCCAGCTGCTGATGAGTGGCAGAGAGGGGGGTCAGGGCGTGCTCCGTGGTCAGGGGAGTTAGTTGGTGGCTGCTAGCGGCTTGTCATCGACTGGTGGAATTGTTTCTCACACGACGGCCAGACAAACGGACCCAAGGTCTGTTGACGCTAGAAGTCATTGGCATCGACAGACCGAGACCGGCCAAAGGCGTGGGAATGGCACAACGTGGGCTCCCCAAGGTGGCGCTGCTGTCGGTTCGCATCATGCTCCTGATCCTGTTGGTGCCCATGTCGAGGCCATGTGTGACGCAGGTGCAAATGACAGAAGAAGCAAGGCGTAGACGCGGAGAAGTAGAAGTGCGAGACATTACCCCAATTCTGATCGATGCTGGTGGTGGTTGCTGTGTCTCATCGAGCCTGTCAGTGTTCGCTTGGGCGCACCACAGTGCCTGGCGTGCATCCAGCGGTACTCCAAGACCCCGGCCCTTGCCCCCTGTGCCGTGCTAGCGAGGGGTGGTGGGCGCTCAGGAGCCAGATTGGCTTCGGTACTTCGCGATACCAGCCGATGGAGCAAGCCTGGGACGGACGGGAGCCACGGTATGTCAAAAGATGCCTGCCACGCTTTGGCAGCAGTCCAACATGCTTGGTGGCCTTGGTGACCATTTCCATTCGTCTCTGGTAAACGCCTACGTATACATGTAGGACGCCTGGGGCGCCACTTGAGGTAGGGACACGGCGTAGACGGGAGATGGTTGCGAAGACCGAAAAGACGTCGCGCCGAGTCCCGTGTGCCGTGTGTGATCAGGTCGGTGTGGTGGTGCCCGTACCTTTTTGACCTCAGATGCCAGTGTTTCCTCACTGTGTGGTACGGTCGGTGCTGGAAGCCTCGTTTGTCGTCCAGTTCTATTGGAGTCGTCAAGTCGCGAGACCTTGTCTGGTGGAGGAGGCAGATGGTAGCGGTGTAGTGCCAGAGTCACGCATCATCATGTGGGCAGCTTGGTCGCCTTCCCGAGGAGACAAGGGCCCAATGGTGGGGAGTGCCATGACAATGGGATGAATCACTGGCAGGAAAGCGTCGCCGGCAGGAAAGCGTCGCCTGGGTACATGCCCTGGTGCTGCCTTCCTCAAGTGGTCCTGCCCCGTGCCATCTCGTGCTTTTGCGTCAAATGGAGGAAGGCACAACCCAGCTCACAGCACCACACACAGACAGCAAGTACGCGCACAGTACGGCAGCACCTCCTCCATGTCGCCTCCCGACTGCCCTTTCTTTGGAGCCTGGCGCCTCGCAACTGCCTGCCTTTCCTGCCTTCCATATTACCTGCCTACCTACCTAGGTACCTAAGGCAGGCACCTAGGTAGGTACCTAAGGTAAGTAGATACCTTGGGTAGACTGATTTGTTTTCGTAAGATTGTGCCATTGATTTGCTACACCACAAGTCAAGGACTACCTAGGCAGCTTTGCTTGTCGACATCCTCCATGCATCACCAGGATCCCGCTCGCCGTAAGGAGAACTTTGCCCGAAACGAAGGACTTGTCAGAACCAAACTTTCCAGCATCAGGAAATTGACTTGGGAAGGCCACCCACGCCACATCATTCACACGCTTGGCCGGGCCAAAGGGATCGACCCCGTCTGCAGGAACTTGCGTTGATTGGCCTGTATCCGACAAGCCCATTCACATCCATGGAGAAAGAAAGCCGCCGAGCAAGCAAAGAAGGGAAACACCTCTGTCTCGTTGCAAGAGACGTCCCTCGTGCAGGTGTTGAGTCGCTCGTGTCGGTCAGGTCAGGCAGGCCAGGTGAGAGCTAGGTTTCCAGTCGCTGCAACATTTCGAGTTAACCAAGTGATCAGCATGGAGGGTGCTGGGCTCACTCCCTGTCTGCGATGCCCTGTACCCAGAGGTACTGTTCCAAAGGCCCCAACCAGTCTTCCCTTGGACCGCAGCGTACTCGCCACTTCATTCGCCCGCATCGCATGCCATCTCCCTCCACATCTCGCTACAATCCGGCTGCGACCTTTCTGGCGTTCTCGGCCACTCATCATGCGTCCTGGCAAGCTCCCAGAGCTCCACGGCTCCAGTCCTCCGCACCACCACACATTAGACAACAGGCCAACATGCAGACTTCACGCGCCGCCAATGCAATCCCCTCATTTCGACGGGGCAACCAGATGCGACCCCAATCACCACTCAATTCAAAGTCTGGAGGCTTCAGGCCAGAACATCTTCAGCGACGCCTTCCAAAACCTCGCACACTGCGGTTCTAATAACTCGGAATTCCCTCAACCATGGGGGCATCACCCAACCCTGAGGGCGTCGATACTCAGGGTTTGATTGTTGAGAGGGTCATGGAAAGGCTGCCTGACAGACACGCAGTACGAGACCACCTTTGCCAATCAACCGATGGCCACTCCCCCCTCCGTGCCGCTTCAGCGCCCGTAGCTCCTGATTCTGGTCCAGCTCATGATGCGTCGCTGTCGAACGTCCCCTGGATCCCTCGCAGGTGGCTGTACGCTCCGTGCCCTTACTAGGCATTCCCACTCAGCATTTCGTAATCGAACATGACGTTTGAGGCGCCAGCCAGCAAAGTACAAGAACATAGGCACCAGGATGACTGTGTAGACCAGCTCCACCCCTGGATTGGTCGTCCAACCATGCTTTGACCGGTGACGCAGGCGGCACCGCGCCCGTCAGCGGCCGTCGGTCCGAAATCCCACGAGGGTTAGCGGCATCAGCTCGGGCCAGCCTCCTATTCGTGCATCCAACCTCCGTCACCATCCATCAGCCACAGATGAAGACTCAGTGCTGGAGTGTCTCCGTGCACAGTCTGGGTCAAAGATGCGTGACAGCAGACCACACTCACATTGTAATGATATACAACTCTCCCCGTTTCCACAGCACCATCTTGCAGAGGGTTTGCGTCTCATTCCTGGATCTAGATGGTTTTTGACTACACAGAACGCACGTCAACAGCGTCTATGTCGTGATATCCGCCTCAGATACGTCGCCTAACCACATTGATGCCTCGGAAGATCGTAAAGGCAACTAGTTCTCAAGGAAGCGTCATTCAACAAGTTACATACCGTCTATCAGTCGTATTTGCCTCCCGTTCCACGCGTCTACTCCAGACGGCACGGGACGATGAGCATGTGCAGCCCGATGAGATTTCCCCAGCACACAAGCTTCCCCAGATTCCAACCCCATGCGGTTCTGTCTTTCACAGTCAAGTCGCTAGCCGCCCTAACAGGGTCCTCTAGCGCTGCAGGTGTGATGCTCAAATACTTGGGAAAGGTGCAGCCGCTCCCTCCCTGTACACGATTAACCTCGTAGACGCGCAACGTGCGTCATGGTCGTACCGCAAAGCTACCATCACAAACATGGTACGAGGCCAATATGTGTAACACATCCCCTTTGGGTCTCGGCCAGAAAGTTCCGTCCTCCCACCTACTTCTCGCCACTGGTATTCTGCGCTGTGGTTGACATATGGATTGGAAAGGGATGGCTCATCCTTCCTATTCCTAACTCCTTGTCTCGGGGTACGAATTGATCATCAGGTCTCCTACGACGTCCCAAATAATATGTAGCTAGCTTTGACTATGGATTGGGCAAAGCAGGGTGGCAACAATGCAGTGCGACACACGACAAGCATCCACACCTCGCCCGAAGGTTCAGTATCCTGTTCGCGAGTCTCTTGAGTCAAAAGTGTACTGATACGACGCAGGCAACGACTCTACTCTTTTCCGGTGTGCCTCGCCCAGACAAGCCCCTGATCCGGTAGCGACGCCTACTAACCACCCAAGGCTGCACCAAAGAAAGGGCATCTAGTCAGACACATAAAGGATTGAGGTGTTCACACACATCCGGCGGTGCCACCTGGTGCGGAAGGGATAAAAGTTGTTCTTGCTCCTGCCACAGGCGCATTTCACAGACTACAGGGCTTTACCAAAAGTCTTTGGATTGCCACCAGCACTTCATGGGGTGTACCGGCGACGTGGAACACCCGACCGGGCTTGGAGCAGTCAATATATTAGCCACGTGCCGGATAAATCCTAGTGAAGTACCCATCTCATCTTGCCTCAGTTGAGATGGGCTCAGCTCATAGCCTTCCAAGGCGAAGGGTCCTAGCCGGGGCACAGTGGTGCATGATGCTCGTCGACGTTTTGGGAAACATGGATCTGTCCATTCATCTCTGTTAGAGGCTCCATTCGATCTCTACACCGAGACTTACGAAGTACACCGCGCTATACAAACTCCTCTGTGACAACGGGAAATTCGAAAGGGGGAATCAAGCAATCCCGCGTCCTCCTTTGTTGACTAGCACATTCATCGTTCGATTTAAAGGCGAAGGCGTTGCAGGTCAGACCCCAGATCCACTCTCTTCACCAGCCAAGTTCGACCACCGAGCTGAGTTTTGGCAACATCAATGCTTTATCTAGCTGTCGGGCACGCTCATCAACTCATGCAAACCAGCTCGAGGCATCAAAATCAGTTCAATGTACCATTTAAGCCAAGTATGCATTCCCTGGTACTGGGGACGGATCAAAGCTGGCACGCAGGCCTGGAAATCGAGGCGAGCGTTGAAACAGTCCAGGCTGGCTGATGACTGCTCATCAATATTGCTACACAATGGCGCCGGCGCCCCTCATCAGGCTTGTCTCTGGCTATGCCAAAATAAACACTCTCCTCCGGCGCTACCAGATGGACCAGCGTGCTCTTGTAGCTTGCCGAAGTCATTTACAGATTCAAGGCAACATTCGGTTCATTCGAGGCTCACTCACATGCCTGTTCCAGGTCCAGCTAGACGGCCAGGGTGGGTGCCCAGACACGCGAGCCCACTTCGCAAGGCCTGAGACTCGAATTTAGCCGGGGCATTTATCCCCGCGCGCCGTTGCTTTCGGGCGATGCCTGCTGGGGTCTGATGACCCGCCTCGCCTCCCTGATCAGGGGACCGATTGTCGAGAGGCGTGCAAGTATCATCGAGAAGATTCTGTCAAGCACATCGACTCGATGACGCCGGCGTTTGGACCCAACGCCTCCTGGGCAGAATAGAAGGCCGCCAGTCTCGAGGCTGAGATGCTGTTCGGTGCGAGACTGAGGGCGCGAGACTGAGGGCGCGAGGCTTTGTCGATCCATTTCCTGAAGTTGTTTTTCTAAGCGTCCCTGCTCGTGTCGGTGAGTGAAGCATCCCCTGCCAGCCATGTGCCGAGGGTACCATCCATGTTCGCCGAGCTAACTAGCAACGAAGCGTTCTGGATGAGTCGTGCGCCTTGGCCCGGACTGTCGATCCAAACTATCGAGACTGTCGCCCATTGTCAAGGCTCTCATGGTCCTTCTTGTTACGGCTCTGTGCCCGGCTCCGCTGGGCCGGTCATGGTCACCATGCCCATCTCGCGCCGATCAGGGAATCACGTCGTGACGTCCTCGGTTGCGTGCTACGTCTAACGAAGAAAATTCAGGTGACAGACGAGCAGGACCATTCCCATTTCGGGAGCCTCCCCATTCGGAGAGATAAAAAAAAAATAGATGACCCCCTTGCGCCAGGGGCAACACGGCTCTGCATATCGTCGCTCCGCGACCCCGCGGGGAGGGGGGATCAATCTGGATGTGCATCTCCCAACAGCGGCGATCAGCTGAGGCAAAGTCGTTTGATGGACGCCAATTGCCTGTCGAGCACTATCCAGCGGAAGCAGATCCCTTATTCGATCGCTCAGGGGATGTTACATCAACCATAGCACGACGTGCGCTGGTGCACGGTGGCTGTTCCTTTTGGCTGCTTGGAGTTCCTGGTGGGCGCGCGGGGTGCGGCAGGGCTGCCGTGTCTCGGCGCAGGAGCGTGGAGCTGACCGTCCAACTGGAGCCTTCGTGCTGTAACCCTATGCCTGAGTGACGGCTGCACTTGATATTGGGCCACAAAGGTGGACCGATCCTTTGCATTGTTCTTTTGTTAGTGACGCGGTATCCGTTCCGTGCTGTTGAGGGGTGTTTTTGGGTGCATGATGTTCGTATAGGGTCCTAGGAGGGAGACCGCATCCTGTTCGCTGGACGAGCAGTGTCGCTGGTGACAGGTCGAACGAAGAACTTGAACATGACAGGTCGAACGAAGAACTTGAACATGTTCTTGACGGAATGCTTGCCTCTATCTTGCCTCGGATGATCGTGGGCACTCATCACTACTGGGATGCAGACTCGTTTTTTGGGAGCACATTTTGATATCATAATAGCCATGGTTCTTTGGTTTAAACGCTCAACGAACAGTTTCCCATTGTTCGATAAGACAATATTCTAGTAGGGGCGATTTAACAATGAATCACCTTCTCTTCTGCGTACGAACAAATTCCCTACCCACACGGAACAGTACGCATCTACAACAAACAATACACATTTGCATATATATGGCAATGGAGTCTTACGAGTAGTGAAGGCATCAACTGTTACTTCCTAGGGGTAAACAATCGGTGCCCTTCCTTAAACTCTGGTCCAACTGCCTTCATTACAACTACTTCTTCACTGCCCGCGATCTCTCCACCTGACTTCTGGGATCAATTACCAGGCAGTCCCTGCTGGTCTCACGGTTCCCTCAGGTCTTGAAAATGGGTTCTACCCGCAAAGCTC